TCAAAACTGCCTTTTCTATCCTGTCAAATGAAGGGGAGACAAAGGACAAAAGGGATAAAGACTGAGGTTTAATTCCCAGTTATATTTATATTTCAATTAGGTATTTTTCTCTTCTAAATGGTCAGACACTATTATTCTTTCCATGGGAAGTAATTTTTTAGCTACTGTCTCTTTTTAAACTCTCCCATAAAATGGAAAACGTTTGAAAATCCCTGGAGCTGGTTTCCTATTTACTTAGAAACTAGATTCTGTAAGTCATATTTATAACTCTTGGTTTAAATGTAGGCATTCACTCTCGTGCCAGTGTCCTTTGATAACATGAGGTTTAAAAGCTTGAAGGACTGAGTATCTGGAAATAACTAACACTTATGTGGCTTTGTTCTTCTCAGTGTAGAATGTGTGCGCAGAATTAATAGAAGAAAAGTGTTGGAATTCTTACTTTGGAAATCCACAAAACACAAATGTTAAAGGGCTGCTTATTATTAATACAGATTTTAAGCATGTAGATGGTGTTAAGAATTAAATATTTTAACTTCTCCACAATCTACTAATTTGTAATAAGGATCCACACATGGAAAACATCTTATTGGTACTGTAGGGAAAGATTCAGGAGTTTTCATTTTTATATTTGAGAACTTTGGGATCTTCATGAAATATAGGAAAACCAATGATCAGCTTCTAAAATCATGATGAATTTGATTTTTTTAGTTTTCTATATTTACTATTGTATTACAATATAATATTGTAGTACAAAGTAGATGGAGAAACAAATATTATTCTTTTCATTTATTAAATGAAAAATGTGCACAAATTATAGGTGTGTGACAAAGGTCTAATTTTGTAAATTAGAAATACAATTATATCCAGTTATAATAATTGCAATTTTGATCAAGTCTTCTCTGAAAACTCATATTTAAAAAAGGTTAGGGTTAGACACCGACTTCAAATAAAAGGTGCCTACTCTTTCTTGGAAGATAAAGAAAAGCTGACATAAATTATCCAAATGGGAATAATTTTCTCTATTTAGAACACTAGAATAGTTTTCTTTTTTCTATTCCAATTTAAGTTTTCAGGTTTAAAAAAACAGTTTCTTCCAATGGGAATAAAGCCATAGACATATATTCTTTTATTTCTATTCATTTGTGGTCTAAAGAACAAATCTTCTTCCATTATTCATGATGAAAGCATACTTGGAATTAATAGTCTATATAGTTCAGAGTTTAGCTCTTTTAGTATGTCTTATTTGCAAGCTAAGTCTTTGGTTTGGCTAAATTTTTGCAAATATCAAAAACTAAAATGTTCAAATGGTAAATCACAGACAAAGAACCTGGTAATGAATGATAGGTACAGATTGTCTAAACTCTTAGGTAAAATTTGATAAGATGTTTTGCATAACTTTAATGAATTGACAAGGTCTTCTGGAGAAAACAGTTCCAGATGGCAAACATACGCAAGGGATTTAGTCAAACAATTTTTTGGCAAGAACATTATGAATTTTGTAACCAGTTGAAAGCCAATGAAATGCAAAGATGAGTCTAGTTAATAATCTACAATGATTGGTGAAAGAAGTATATTAGTGCTAATTTCTCTCCATTCATCCTATCTTTGTTTTCCACCCCACAAGCCTTTGGCACCATGAAGGGGGTAACTTTCATCTGTGTTCTCTTTCTTGTCAGCTCTGCTTCCTCCAGGGGCCTGTTTCGTCGAGATGCACGTAAGAATTCTAGTTTTCTATTGTTCAAATTTATTTTGTTTTCCTAGTAAAAGAAAGTTTCAGTAAACCTTGCATCTTTAAAGAAGTAAGCTGTCCTTTAGCATTAAGTTCTGCGATGATATTTTTTTGTATTTGTGAAGCCTTAAGAAGTTATCTTATATTTCTAATATCCTAAGTGAAAAAAAAGGTGAGAATTGTTTAGTAACTGTAATTTCCTTTTACACATGAAGGAACAGAGAGTGACCTAAACTTCACAGAATATATTTGAAGATAGAATTCATAACTCTAAGTTCTCAAAGCCCTATCCACCGCACCTTGATGCATTAAAACAACAGCAAAGCCTTTGTTGCTAGTCTTATAAACAGAACTTTTATTTACATTTTTTCTGTCATACTGTCTTTTCAGTAGCTGTTCATAGATACTAAGAGCATTATATCTTATCCAAGTTTGAATAGAAAGCTATAAATGTTTAATGATTTTTCCAACAGTATCATTGGTGATTAAATAACTTGTTTGTTTAAAAGCACAAGAAGCAGTTCACCATCATTCTAAGATTTTCTGAAGGGATCAGAGCCCAATAGTTTGGAGCAAATGAATACCTAAGTCAAATGGAGAGAAACATAAACAGTGATATCACAGCCAGATGTTTTCTTCGGTATTTAAACAAATCTTTTTCCTCCCCAGACAAGAGTGAGCTTGCTCATCGGTTCAAGGATCTGGGAGAAGAGCATTTCAAGGGCCTGTAAGTTAAATACTGAGAAGGCGAATTCAATGTTTCTAACAGCTTGCCTATTATCTGAAGTCCTTACATTCCCCACCAGCAGGGCCCAGACTCTAGAACAGTACTGTCCAGTGAATTTTCTGCATTCATGAAAATATTCTATATCAGTGCTGCCTAGTATGGTATCTACTGGCCACACCTGCTTGTGGAGTCCTTTAAACACAGCAAGTGCAACTGAGGATCAAAATGTTAAATTATATTTAATTTTAATTAATTTAACTATAGTCACACGTGGCTGATGGCTACTGTGTTACTGTATGGGAAGGTGTAGTAGCTCTGGGATCTTAGATAACCCTGATTGAGGGGAAAGACTTTAAAATATGGTTCCTTTCCCAGCACACACTCAAGTTCCTTTACCTAGCAAATAGATATGTGGTTTCTGGAGAACATTTTAATTTATTTTAATCTAGTAAAGAACGAGAAAATAGTTTATTTTTTCAAGGTCAATTTCATTTTATAGCCTGATTAATTGAGATGTGTGTGTGATTTTTGTTTTTTGTTTTAAATAGTCCCAGGGCCTATGTAATGCCCCTCATCTTAACAATTAGATCTATTTAGAATGCATGTTGCTTGTTTGCTTTGTATGTGAGCATCTACTCACATGCACACATATGTATTTAAACATGGTGGAAATACATATCCTCTTTGCTTAGAAAACCACATAAGCCTGGTTAGGCCTCAGATAATTGCTGATGTGAATAGTCTTTCTTGATAATAGTAAGATGCATAAAATATTATAGAACATATACTGATAACACAATTTGTTCTTTAGCAGAGCAACCTTCTTTATATTAAAGTTTTATTACACTACATTTTCTCTATGTCCTGTGTTTCAGGGTGCTGGTTACCTTTTCTCAGTATCTCCAGCAGTGCCCATTTGAAGAGCATGTAAAATTAGCAAAGGAAGTAACTGATTTTGCAAAAACATGTGCTGCTGATGAGTCAGCTGAAAATTGTGGAAAGTCACTTGTAAGTACATTGTGATTTTGAATATATCTTCTTATTTTAAGTTATCCTGAGCATTTCAAAGGGAAAACACCCCATTTTGGCTTTCTTGATTATTACTAAGACCGTATTTGTAAGCAACACTCACAAATGGGTAGAGCCATTGTTTCTTCAGTGATAGAGACAATCTAGCTATGCCCACAGTTTTAAAGCATTTCTTTATTGAGAACACACACAATGGTCAAAGCGTATTTAAATGGAAATTTGTCATTTGTAAAAGTCTCTTTTAAATCTAAAGTTTGATTTGTTTTCATAGATGCTGATAGTGACAGCATGTTTTTTTAATCTTCAGAAAGCACTCAGCTGATTTCCACGATAATTTTGTTATCTGGGTAAAATAATACTACAGCTATATATTCCTCATTTTAGGGATATTCACACTTTTACATACAATAACATATTGGGGCATTCATATGTGTTAAAGGACGCTGAGCTTTTCTTACTTCCAGATAAGTCTTCAGTACAAGTGGAGGTGAATGTTTCTCTCATCACTCAATCTATATACACTTTTCTAGGTGGCAAGTCTGTTTTTATTTATCATGAAACTTTTCCTCCTTTTACTTCTCTTTATAACTCTCTCTGCCTTAAGTCAGAATCAGTATTTTAACTTCACACAATATTATGGCTCTAAAATGAATTTTTAAAAAATGTATTTTTTGAAAATTAATACATTCTGTCTTGAGCAGTATATTTTCCCTGGTGTTACAGTTGTTTTCATAACAGAAGTTAATGGGGATGGAAAGAATTCATTTAATGGAATGTGCTTCAAAGCAAATGTTTCTAGAATAAAAAGTTCTATATTTTAATGAAATAATTAATACATAGTGAATTGTGTTACTTCTGAGTCTTTAAATGGTATCTACTGAAAAGTTGGATCTCTCACAAAGGAGTAGGTCAAATGAGAAACTATCCTAACACTTTCCTCTCTAATGTGAATTCACCTGCTTAGAGGAGTATTTTCCCTTGATTTTTGTGGTTGTTAATCCTCACCATATTTTTTCTATTACTTTTCAAAAACAGAATTGGGAGGGAGGGAGGGTGAAAGAGAGAGAGAGAAACATCGATGTGAGAGAGGCACATCAATTGGTTGCCTCCAGCACATGCCCTTTGGGGTATGGGGAGTGAACCCACGACTGACGTACCTGCCCTTCCCTGGGAATCGAACCCATGACCCTTTGGTGGGCAGGCCGATGCTCCAACCACTGAGCACACTGACCAGGCTTTTCCGTTGATTTTTATTATTATAGCTCCTAGTCTTTAGCCTAAGGTAAGAATTGGAGTAACATTCATTCTTTAAAGCCATTGACGGTCATTTTGCCCTTCCTTTTTACCCACTGTAGCTAACAGTGTGACAGTTACCTCTTAAAAAACTTACATAGAGGTGATCAAATCAAGGGAAACTCTCTAAACCTGAGAAAAAAGTGGATTTTTATATGATTTCCTTACCAATGTTTACCAGTATAGTACATCTTCAATACTGTTCCTTGGGTGTAAAGAAAATAAAACACTGCGCAGCCATTTGAAGGCCTCTGTCCCCCACGCAGCACACCCTTCTGGGAGATAAACTGTGTACAGTCGCATCTCTTCGATCCACCTATGGGGACATGGCTGACTGCTGCGAGAAACAAGAGCCCGAGAGGAACGAGTGCTTCCTGAAACACAAGGACGACAACCCCAACCTCCCCGCACTGGTGAGGCCAGAGCCTGAGGCCCTGTGCACCTCCTTCAAGGAAAATGAGCAGAAGTTCCTGGGAAAGTAAGTAGTCAGACTGTTTTTTAATCCTCACCTGAGGATACGTTTTCCTTGATTTGAGAGAGAGAGAGAGAGAGAAACATCGACTGGTTGCCTCTCAGAAGTGCCCTGGCCAGGAATTGAACCCGCCCACTTAACGTAGGGGAGGGTGCTCCAGCCAGCCGAGCCACCCGCCAGGCCAGCAATCAGAGTCTTATGCTTCAAAATTAAAAATTATGAAATAGGTCAAGACTAATTTTAAAAATTACTATAAAAATATTTTCAACATTAAGATTTAGAAGATTTTTTTCTAATGAAAAATTCAAAGAAATAATATTTGATACTATAAAATTTTACACATAAAAAATTTGATCACAGCTCTTTTGGAGTTCATTGAAACAGGATGTAATCTGTATGGAAAACATTGCCACATATTAAAATATTATGAAGATATATATTTAGTTAAGGTCAGAATTAATTTCATTTTAGTCGATAACCTTATATCACCAATATTTAACTATTTTATATAACTACTTTATACATAATATAAGTTTAACCTTTTCACTGACAAAAAATGACAAAGGCAAGGTCATCATGTGCAAATTGAGTTTAATTAGTAAGTTAGATGTCTTTGGGTTTTTGAGTTTCTAAGGAAATTGTTGATAATAATTGACTGTTCTTCTTTTGAAAAATTTAGTTACCTATATGAAGTTGCCAGAAGAAATCCTTACTTTTATGGCCCAGAGCTTCTTTACTATGCTCAAGAATATAAAGGAGTTTTGACAGAATGCTGTGAAGCTGCTGATAAAGCTGCCTGCCTGGGACCAAAGGTATGTCCCAGCAGAGGAAGACGAGAACCAGTTCAGACTCCAGCCTCAGATCTGGGGCTCGGTATAGGGAACCTAAGTCTCTGATACAAACTTCTTTACCTGGTGAAAAAAGCCTTCCTTACTCTCATCCAACCCAAAGATTTTCACCCCCTTGGAAGGCCCATGACATCGTCATTCCCCCTCTAAGTTCTGCCCCGTGGATCTGATAGAGGGAGTCACTGTGTATGTATCTAAATATCCCTCCTCTTTTTGTATGAAATACAGAAACTCGTTTGTAAAATTGCACAGCAAAGGGCCACAGGTTTTGTTTACCTTTTCATGAGCCTTTCCTGTTGGGGAAGGAATTCAAAGTGGAGAAGTTCACTGCATCTAGAAGCCTGGGTTTATTCATTCATTCCATAAATATTTATTACGTCCTGGTCATCTTTTCTAGGGAGTTTATTGATGTGAGAGCTGGTGAAGGAGGGATTGAAATGAAATTATGCAAAATTAAGAAGTCAGTAGGATTATATTCCCTGGGATATTAGTGTAGTCTGTTCTTCTACCTTTCCCTCCAGCTCCCCTTTCCCGGCAATGCCCACATGCTGGTTCTACACTGCCTGGGGGCTTCCACTA